GACACAAATACACACATAGACACACAAACAAACATATGCACATTATATAAAAAGTCAAATAGTAGTAATGATTCCTATCCTCCCATTCCCTCCAGACCCATTCCCTGAAGTGCTTGCCCTTGCTTGCTCTCTTGTATCTGATAGCAGGCTCTCTCATGGAAAAATGCCAGCTGTAGCTCTGTTTTAAGTACAATATCTTTCTGATTTACCACAGCTGTTAAGATGAAAGGGAATCATATTTTGCTTTTCTTTCCCCCCTCAGGAGTGTTTTTCATTTTGTGTTTGATCTTTTTTAAAAAAAATATATTTTATTGATTTTTTTACAGAGAGGAAGGGAGAGAGATAGAGAGTAGAAACATCAATGAGAGAGAAACATCGATCAGCTGCCTCCTGCACATCTCCTACTGGGGATGTGCCTGCAACCCAGGTACATGCCCTTGACCAGAATCGAACCTGGGACCTTTCAGTCAGCAGGCCGACGCTCTATCCCCCCTCAGGAGTGTTTTTCATTTTGTGTTTGATCTTAAAAATACTTTGTGGGCAGTGAATATTCCAGATTGACTTATTCATTATTCACTTTAAGTCCTTTGAGCATGTCTTCCTAGACCTAGACGATAGAGGCTGGGCAGCAAAAGCTACATTTCCAGACTCCCTTGCAGCTACGGTTCTGTACATGGTGAGTGGGAGACTTGGAAAGTTGATGTAAATAGGACCAAGCACAATGGCAGAGAAGTTTGGTTCCTCTGGCTACAATGTAGGCTCCAGTGTTTGGTTCCCTGTGTCATGGGTGCTAAGTGTAAGGCAGGTGAGGTAGTGAAGTTTCTGTCAGAGCAAACCCATGGAGGGAATAAGTATTTCTCCTGGCTGCATTGTTCCTGATTATGTAGCATGCAAGCTTGATCTTCAGAAGTTTAGAAGCATCTTAATGCCCTGTAACAAATCCTTTTCTGCTTAAACTAGTTAGAGTGGATTCTATTGTCTCCAACTAAGAAACTCAATAGGAGAAATCATTGAACTCTATGCTACTTCTTGAGTATCTATAAAAAAAATCCCTCTAAACTTCAATCATCTGTGGTTTTAATGATTTTCTATATTTTTCCTATATTTCTGAAGGTGACATTTTTACATCAATTATTTTATTTGGCAAATAACAATAGTTAGTAATTATGGCAGGTAATATTATATCCTCTTTATATAAGAAACCGAGACAAAGAATGATTAAGTACCTTATCCAAAGATGTTAGTGTATCTGTTATATTGCTTAGAATCCCACTTCTGGTTTTACACTATTTCATATACCCAGCCTGTTCATGAGTAAATAAAAGAGATAAAAGATAGTTCCTGAGACCAAATATAGTTCTAACAAAACTTTATAGGAATGGCAACTGACCTAACAGGGTTATTCTTACCCAACTTTGTATGCTTATCTGTTTAAAATTTTATTACATGGTTATTATTTAAAATTCTTTATTTTCTAATATAATTTAGTGCTTAATGTATAAAATTTTGGAAGTATAGACAATTCTAAAGAAGCCAAAGTCTCTGTTTATAATTTGAATGTTTTTAGAGGTCAGGTAGAAACAAAACATTTAAAGAAAATTGGGAGATTTTAAGCAATAACCACATCTTTGGGTTAATGTTAAGAAGAATAGCCACATTTCCCCAAAGTCATTTCCTGATGCTTTTGTCAGGGATCAAGTCTTATACTGACCCTGAAGGTTATTCTTGGGCTTTGCTCTAGTACCTGTTTTCACTATACTCATAAGCATTTGCCCATCATGTGCTGGGAGCTCAGTCCTAGTTAATTGTTTTCATTAATTCTAGCCTCCTATTCTAGTTAGTTATCCAGCTAGCTGGTGTCTAAATTTCAGAGGGAGGCAGCTGGTGATATATCTCCATAGCTCACTGCTCCCTCCAATCCAGCTCTTGATATAAGTAGGTACCCCTACCTCCACTCCAAACTCCATTCTTGTGTAGGATTCATGGGAGGGCGGGGATGTGCTGGTCATTCCAGCAGATGAGAAGGTCTCCTTAACTCTATTTGATGCCTTGGTTGTCCCTCCAAACCCTAAATACACTTTCATGCTGGTTCTGCCCACCCCCCCAATTTGGCCTTCTATTAATTCTCCACTTCTCATACCACTGGCTGAGCAGTTTCCCTTAAGGCTAAAACACTTCTCCCTATATTTGAAATGAAAGGCAACTTGGTTCTCCTGACTAGTTCTAACCTGTACCTATAGTATCCCTGACCCTTACCTCACTCCTTGTACAATAGCGAAGTTCTCATTCAACCCCGAGTATTCTTTCATGACCTGGGACAGGAAATCCGGGGTCTCCTGGAAACCAGTGATCTCACTACAATAACTTTTTTCCACCTACCCAAATTCCACCCATCTTTGGGAGATGCCTTTGTCCCCAACAGACTCCTAAAATGACCAGCTGTGTTAGACCAATGCAGGCTACCTCCTCCAGTGATTAACCAGCACTCCTTACTGATGTTCTCATATTCTTCTATCACTGGTAAGTTGGAATGCAGATGAGCAGAGGGAAACTCTGGCTCCATGCAGAACTAGCCCACAGTTTATATTATTTTAGCCAGGCCAAAAGGAGAAATAACATTGACCTTAAATACAACTGTTGTAGACAGAGGTAGAGCAGCCCTGATTTCCCCAAAATTGAAACTAATGCAATTATACAACTCTTAATGATCATAGGGACTTTCAGGGGGACAGTGTTATATGCTAATCGTTACCTCTGAACTACCAACATAAATTTTTAAAGTCTTCTAGGAAATGTTTTCATTTGAATGAAAGTCCTTTATAACTGTACAATTCATTTTTCTTTTCCAAAGAAAAGCAAATAGTTTCCCATTGCCAGACGACTCTGAAAATCTTGCCAGAGAATCTAAAGGAAACTCTCCTGACCTATTTTATTTTATTTATTTTATTTTTTTAAATATATTTTATTGATTTTTTACAGAGAGGAAGGGAGAGAGATAGAGAGTTAGAAACATCGATGAGAGAGAAGCATCGATCAGCTGCCTCCTGCACACCCCCTACTGGGGATGTGCCCACAACCAAGGTACATGCCCTTGACCGGAATCGAACCTGGGACCTTTTAGTCCGCAGGCCGACGCTCTATCCACTGAGCCAAACCGGTTCGGCCTGACCTATTTTATTATTATTTTTAATTAAAATATATTTTTATTGATTTCAGAGAAGAAAGGAGAGGGAGAGAGAGATAGAAACATCAATGATGAGAGAGAATCATTAATTGGCTGTCTCCTGCATGTCCCACACTGGAGATGGAGCCTGAAACCCGGGCATGTGCCTGACCAGGAATCGAACCATGACCTCCTGGTTCATAGGTCGACACTCAACCGCTGAGCCACGCCGGCCAAGCAACCTGGCCTATTTTATACAAGAGAAAAACAAACCCTGGTTTGTTGAAGTCACTGCTTTTTGGATTTCTACAACTAACAGATAATACTAGTAGATTGAGAGAAAATGGCAATTATCTAAAACTAAAATCCAGAAAGACTCAGAAAACAAGGTTTATACTTCTCCCCAAAAAGATTTGGAGAAATAGAGTATTATCAGGACTTTCTTGTGAGGGGAGAAAGAGGAAACTAGTTGGTGGGGAGAATGCTACAAGAGCAGGTGTGGATCTCTGAGGAAGGCCCAGGCTTGTTCCCTGAGCTGCCAACACTCAGGGAAGGAGATGACAGTAAGACTTGTGCTAATTTCCTGTTGCTGCTGGAACAGATTACCACAAACCTAGTGGCTTAAGGCAACATAAAGATATTATCTTGCCCTAGCCGGTTTGGCTCAGTGGATAGAGCATCGGCTTGCAGACTGAAGGATCCCAGGTTCAATTCCAGTCAAGGGCACATGCCTGAGTTGCAGGCTTGATCCCTAGTAGGGGGCGTGCAGGAGGTAGCCGATCAATGATTCTCTCTCATCATTGATGTTTCCATCTCTCTCTCCCTCTCCTTTCCTCTCTGAAATCAATAAAAATATATATATTTTTTAAAAAAAGATACTTACAGTTCTGGAGGTCAGAGGTCCAAAAAGGGTCTCACTGGGCTAAAATTAAGGTGTTCACAGGGCTGGTTCCTTCTGGAAACTCAGGAGAATTGGTCTTCTTGCCTATTCCAGCTTCTATAGGGTGTCCCAAAATTCACGCAAGATTCGCAATTCAATTCAATTGCAAATCTTTCATGAATTTTGGGACGCCCTAAAGAAGCTGCCTGCTTTTCTTGCCTCATGGCCCCCTTCCCTATCCAAAGGCAGCAATGGCCAGTGGAGCTGTTCTCACAATGCATCACTCTGACACTGATTCTTCTGCTTCCCTCTTCTACTTTTAAGGAGCCTTGTGATTACATTGGGCCCACCTGGATCATTCAGACTCATTTTCCTATCTCAAGGTCACCTAATTAGCAACTTTAATTCCACCTGCAGCCTTAATTTACCCTCGAGGTATAACGTATCATCACAGGCTCTGGAGATTGGAATATGGGCATCTTCGGGGAACCTTATTCGGCCTTCCACAAATGCCTATGCAGGTTTAGAGGCATGTGCCCCGTTTTTCTTCTGGCGTCTTGGAAGCTTGTTAGCCTTCTTGAATTCTTCATACCTGCATGGGAGGCAGCGGTCAAGTAGACGTGGCAGTGTAGGGTGCCAGGAGGGAGGTAGTTCCCAGGCCCCAGTGCCCCCTCTCATGAGAGAGCTGGCAGGCCTGGGAGGGGTGATACAGCTGAGGAAATCACTGTGGATCCCATGTGTGGGGACCCTCTGGGAACGCAATTAATGCCTCAGAGAATGCTAGCATGGAGGCATATTAATTATTGGGGGACAAGATAAGAATGTTCTCAGAGATGTCAACAGCAGCTGCCCATATATGAGGAACCCCGCCCCTTTTACACTACAAAACACCCTCCTGAGAGGGGAAAGGAACAAACCTCTGAAGTCAGACCTCCAGGAATTTAAATTGATTCAGAAAACTGTGCACTCCCCTTCAGTGCTCACAGCCCATCGGTAAGGGGTGGGGCAATGATTCGGGGCTGCAGTTTCTTCTGGCATGGGTACACTATGAGAGGCCTACAGAGCAGGGCCCACCGTAAATCCATTGCCATGCTCTGATTCAGAAACCTTTGAAGTTACTGGGAAAAATCCCAAGTTGACTAAGATGAAGTTTCTGTCACAAGGCTGAATGGGAATTTGAGATAGAAACTCGTTTATCACAGAAAAGTAATGCGAGTTCTTATCTCATACCTTTGATTTTGCGCTGAGAGCTATCCCAGCTACATGTAAATGAGGACAATGACGCCGAGTCTCCCTTTCTGACAAGAATAACGGGAGCGAATGCTTTATTTGCAAGCACGTGGTGAAATGAAGCTCAGTGTAACCGGTGTGTGTTGTCTGTGATGAGCCCCCTTGCTCCCTTCCAGATCACTACATGATGGGTGAGCTGCACAGTGAAATCAATCTTGGGAACGGTAAGTATGTGACATTTTGCATTGCTAATAGCTATTTCCACATAACTATGCTGACACATAAAAACCAAGCCATCAATCTTTCAGCTTTAAAAAACAGGCCGAGTAAAATGTTACATATGAACCTTCACTCAGCTCTGTGCCTTGCTCATAGGTGTGACCAGGGTGGGAACAGCAGGCTGGCCTGGCTAGGGGAGCAGATGCCTCACCGGGGCTTTCCTGTGTGAAACCTTCTCTTCATCTGAGTCATGCTTCCATGTGGCGCCCTCTACTGTCTTTTCATCCAAATGAACAACTGTCATATCAATTGATAGGTTACTTTAAAAATCATGGAAAGGCAGCCCTTTGGAGGAAGGCGGTCAGAGGAAGAAGATATCGGCAGCTATAAACTTTGAGGCCTCACCCAGACCCAATTGCTATGTTTGGCCTTGGCTTAAGAGCAGCAACTGAGAAGAGAACAAAAGAAGAGACATGAACAGCAAACCTGACCGTGGCGATCCTAGTGCTCTGACGAATCCAACCACAGAAGCACACGGCTCTTCTTTTAATGTTAAAGGGGACATTAGTCAATTCACTGTCATCTAAACTACCTGAGAAACTGAGGCCAGAGTGTGACAGGCTTCCGCTGGTCCTGGAGATCTGGGTGCTGACACCACAGAGGCAGAGTGTGGAGCAGCTGGGCAAGTGCCTGACCTCTCTTCTTCAGCACAAGCTATATCACCAGGGCTCACACCGTGACCTGGGCCCTGAGTTCTTGGGTTTATTATGGAGAATGTTATTGTCATCAGTGGGCTTGTCATTAAAATCTGAATGATAAACAAGTTTGTTTTGTATTTCAAACAAGTGAAAAAATAATTACAATATCAGTAATAATATTAACTAATATTTATTGTGTGCTTACTATGTGCTAGGCACCACGCTAAAGTACTTTACATACATTATCTCATTTTTTTTTTAATAAGAGAAAGTTTAATTAGAAAGTCACAGAGGTAGAAGAAGTGAGCCTAGAAGAAATGGGCTCAGGAAACAAGTGACAGAGGCAAAAGAAGGGCCCCTGGAGCTTAGGAGAAAGAGAGGCAAGGAAAACACGCCTGGGGAAAAGGGTAGGGAAAGGCATGGGTGTGCTAGAAAGAGAGGGAGAGGGAGAGGGAGAGGGAGAGAGAGAGAGACCCATACATTATCTTATTTAATCCACATAAGAGCTCTGAGGGAAAAGAATGATTATTATCCCCATTTTGGAGACAAAGAAGCTGGGGCTTAGCAAGGCCAGCGTTCCTGGTCTATAGTCACCCAAATTATAAGTGACCAACCCAGGGCTTGAACCTAGGTTTCTCTGGTTAGAGCCTGACATCTCAGCTGTATGCCACCCAACCCCTTTAACTACCCATGGGCAGGCTTCCACTGCTGGAGGGAACATGGTATGGCATTTCGGGGGTGGAGGGCCAGGCTAATGCCTTGTGAGAGCTCTCTTGAAACCACACTGTCTCACCCCAGCAACTGGTAGGGGACCAATGACTGAGAGCTTATTCTCCACAGGCACAAGGATAAATCTGGCTTCAGGAAGCCTTTGGGGCAAGGACAGGTGCAGATTCTGGACTCCTGGGGCCCTGAAAGGGCTCACATAGGGCTTAGCTTATGGGGTGGGGGTGGTGCGTGGGCAAGGAATACGGAGCTCAGTAATACTGCCTTATATAAGCCAAACTGTGACTTTTTTCAGTTTATATTGTCCATGGACTGTGACAACAGAAGCATTTTCTTAAGGAGAAAGGTACCTAGAGCAATGTTAATTTCAGATACAGCTCAGTGGAGTTATGCAGTCCCCTCCCAACAATTTGAGGTGGTTCTTTATCCTCCGGGAATCTAAGCGTGGCATCACGGTCACATGCTGCATGAAACCAGGTGCCCTGGTGCAGGAGGAGGGCTAACCTTCTAGGTGCCACATGACAGCAGCAGTAAAAGTAGAAGACCACACACCTTATGGCTTCCATAAATAGGAGGGGACACATTCACCTACGGTTTTGAACGCGTAAAGTTCTTCCCCTGTCAAGGTGTTGGGCAACACTGGTGACATCCTGCCTTTGAGACTCTTCACTCTAGTGGTGGCCAAGATGATGTCCTGCCACTCTGCACACTGTCCCTGGGCCAGGCTGTCCGCAATGCTCAGGGCGGCCATGTCAGTAGGAAAGAAAAGAAAAAAAGAAAAAAGAAGAGAGGGGGGTGGGTGGAGGGTAAGTGATTGGTTTAAAGCCTGGTTCCGTCTCTGGGCTGCTGGGTCAGATAGAACAGAAGAAGAGAACAAAAGAAGAGGCATGAACAGCAAATCTGACCATGGCGACCCAGCGCTCTGACGAATCCAACCACAGAAGCACACGGCTCTTCTTTTTTTAATTTTAAAGGGAACATTAGTCTACTCACTGCCATATAAAACAGTGCAGCTAAGTTCCAGGCGTCTGGCATGTCTATTATTCCTCCTTCCTCAGAGGCAAGGAGTTGGGAGCAGTCCCTCATCCCTGTGGGAGAATGTATGGATCCCAGGAGCTCTCTGGATCCTCCCTGGACGGGCCTTCTCCTTCCATTTCAGGAGTGCAGTATGTTCTCTGTGACAGTGCTGCCTCCGCCGCTGATGACGAAGCTCCGGGAGTTGGACACGACCAGAGCTGGGGACATCTCTTCGGGGTCCTCTGCCTCTGGCTGGCGGTCTCCACCCACAGGCCCTTGCAGGCCTGTCTCCTGGGCGGTCAGTTCGGAGTCCGGCTCCCCGCACTGCAGCGGGAGTAACGCCTGGTGCCTGGTCAGGGTGTCGTTGCTTTTCTGGGACTCCAGGGAGTTCTGGTGCGTGGAATTCCTGTGAGCCGCGGCACTCTTCTGAGGCTCGTCAAAGCTCAGCGAGAAGGTGACGGTGCCGCTGCCGAAGATGACCTGCTTGCATCTGGGCTGCTGCTGCGGCTGCAGGGCCGAGGGCGGCTGCGGCTGCGGCTGGGGCTCCTGCTGGGGCAGGGCCAGCGGCTGCTGTGGCTTCTGCCTCTCGGGCTGCGGGAAGGGGTCTTCGCTGTTGCTCTTGCTGCTGATGGAGGAGGAGGGGGTGGAGCCCGTGGAGCCGCCGAGGCTGCCGGACCGCTTGCGGGAGACGTTGCTGCGGCGCAGCGTGGCCCGGGCCGCCACCTTGAAGGCGTGCGCCGCGGTGCTGCAGCGCACCTCCTCGATGGTGTTGCGGGAGGGCTTGAAGAGGATGATGTAGACCTTGTTGAAGAAGATGCAGGCCAGCAAGCCGAAGCTGGCCGCCAGGATGGCGATCACCTCCACGGCAGAGACGAACTTGCCGTAGGTGCTGGCGTAGGCCGGGATGAAGGAGATCCAGACGATGAAGAAGATGAGCATGCTGAAGGTGATGAACTTGGCTTCGTTGAAGTTCTCCGGCAGCTTCCGGGACTTGAAGGCGAAGAAGAAGCAGATGGCGGCCAGCAGGCAGGTGTAGCCGATCAGGAAGCCCAGCGCCATGAGCGAGCCCTCGTGGCAGGTGATGAAGATGATCTCATCCTCCAGCTCGTGGTTGCGGTAGCTGGAGGGCGGCGCGGTGTAGAGCCAGATCACACAGATGACGATCTGCACGAAGGTGCAGAGGAAGACCAGCAGGAACTGCAGGTTGAGGCCCCACCACTTGCGGTGGAAGCTGGTGGGGATCTTGGCCTCGAACACCAGGAGGACGCGGTTGGTTTTCACCAGGATGCAGGAGATGCAGAGCACGAAGCTGATGCCGAAGGCCGGCTGGCGCAGGCGGCAGGTCCAGTCCTGGGGCTCCCCGATGAAGAACAAGGAGCTGGAGAAGCAGCAGAGCAGGGAGAAGAGGAGGAGGTAGGAGAGCTCTCGGTTGGTGGCCTTGACGATGGGCGTGTTGCGGAACTTGATGAAGACCCCCAGCACGAAGGCCGTCAGGAAAATGCCCAGCACCGCGAAGAGGGTGAGCGCGATCCCAAAGGGCTCCGTCCAGGACAGAAACTCGATCTCCTTGGCGATGCAGGAAGTGTGGTTCTCGCTGGACCAGAAGTCATCCGGGCACTTGTCGCAGGCACTTGCATCTGTAAATGTCCCAGCGAAGAGGGAGTGACCGAGCAGCATAGACTAAAACTTATGAGTGTGAATGTGGTGGTGAGCGTACACAGGCTAGTGGGTGTGGTCACTTTACATTGTACTTACTGATGAAAATTGTGATTTTTACATGATCAAGTAATATACGGAACCCTGACATGTTTAATTCTATACTTACTTTCATGTACCTTTGATGATTCTATAGTTTTTGCCCCTTTGTACATGCCAGACATGCCAGAGGGAGACATCCTCAGATCAAGGTAGAGTCTCTCACACGTATGACCTGTGCCTTCCTCCAAGGCTTTCCAATGAAGGAGGCTATAGGCTCATTTAATCAAGGAACGTGTATTAAGTCTCTGGTGTGTCCCTCGCCCATGAAGTCTGGGGAAGTGAAAGGAACATGGGCTTTGCAGTCAGAGAGCTGGATGGGAATCCTGGCCCTGCCATTTACTAGCGGTATGACCTTTGGGCCTCCGTTTTCTCATGTATGAACTGGAAGCAATAATAACCCCATTATTATGGGGAGGATGAAATGAGATAATAGCAATTATTCTTA